TGTGTTTTCACTTTTTAGTTATGAAGTAATCTCTCCATTTTTCTTCTTTTTTCTTTTTCTTTTTTTTTTTTTTTTGAGCTTAATATATACCAGCAAGTAGTACATAAAAGGTTCGGTTTCACGGGGAGGGAAGGCGGGTGGTTTACATGTCAGGCCAAATTCAGATCCCATTACTCACATTAGCAAGCAGTTACACAAAAGACCCCAGTTACCTCAGTGGGATTAATCACAGGGTAAGGTTCCACTCAAACTGAATGAGTAGCAAAATTTGCCTCTAAATTACATACAGTTAATATTTTAGAAATCCTAGATAATCTGTATAAATATACACCATCTCCTCAAAAGATGAGTTGTAACAGTCAAAGTTCATTGTATTTTTCAATAAAAATGTATATTCTGTTTCCTAAGAATCTTAAATTTACCAGTCATTGCATTACTGTACAAAAACAGTTTGAGAACATAATCTTCGTGCAATTAGAGATAAACATCTAAAAATCTAAATATTTTCTTGCATTACTAGGAACAGGATATCTGAACGAAGTCATTGTAAAACTACAGAGAATCTTACTTGGCTTAACAGTTTTGAAACTCCTTTAGCATGTTCAAAATCTGGTCTTCCAAGTACAGCAGGCTCCTTATTCATCTCTCCCTTTCCTTTCTTGTACTGAGCCTTAAAAAAAAAAAAAAAAAATAATATGAATCACTATTAAATTGTTTGCTTCTGTTTTATCAAGAAAAATGTAAGCATTAAAGCTAGCAGAAAAGTCTCATTCAGTTATCTGCAATGACACTACTTTCAGAGCTGTTCTAATCAGCTCTGAAAAAAGCCCTTCTCAGGCTTCAGCTCATAACAATGTAATATTTATTTATTGTAAAACACAATGCACAGAATTTACAAAATTCAACTTTAACCAAATGCATAGCTTAAGCCTGAGCAATCTTGTTCTCCCAATAAAGGCAGAATGAGTTACAGTGGCTCAGTATTTCTTATGACAGGCTCTGCAGTTTACACAAGATTATTCATAGCAGCTGAAACTAGTCTTGAAACAAAACTAGGCCGAGGGGCAGCTTTTTTGAAATGTAAGGTCAAATTCCACTCTCAGTTTTACCACTGCAATCTTGCTGGATGTCAGTGAGATTGCACTGGTGTAACAGGGCGGAATTAGTCCCACAGGGCTGGTGTTACGTGATCTTTCCAGCTAAGCTGCCTCCCATGCAAATTGCCGCAATTTTTTTCCACAATGCACTACAAAACAGCACAGATGAATCGACAATAGGTGCTTTGCAGTATCACAAACTAAATTACCCATTGCCTAAAATAGGCTTCTTGCATTACTCAGGCACTGTGAATCAGCAAGGGCACGTCATAACAACAGACTGAGAGAAATAAAAGTCCCAAAGCCACTCTGTCTCAAAGAAAGCTTGAAAATAAATTAGTAAATCTGGGTGTTGAACATAAGACTTAGTAGAAGTTCTTGGTTTTCAGAAAATCCTGAATATTCAAAAGGTGAATCGCAGGTTTCTTAAAACTGTCTCTCTGTAGGTGCCTACTCAGTCTCACATGAAACTATTAGCAGTTACTTAAAATCTTGTCTCAGGGCTTTTTTTAAAAAAAAATATATATATACACACACACATTGTTTGAGATGTCTACAATAAAACATAAAACTGCACCACACATTGCTGCTACTCAAACTGCTCCTTGACCTATCCATCAGCAGACGTCACGGGAGGAGGGAAAAGAATTTGAGAGGGGAGTTTGGGGAGGAGAGCCCCCATGCTAGAAGCAGTATGTTTGCACAGTGCTCAGAAGGACAGCAGGGAATTGCATTTCCCTGTTGCTGCCGGCTGAGATGGCAGGAGGAAGGGGAGTCCTGGGATGAGAGCTTCTCTTCTACTGAGGTGAAAAAAAAAAAAAGCTTGGTATGTCTTCTGAAGTGCAGTATAGCATATGAGTATGTGACTTCTTCTGGGAATTGTTATTATTAATAAAGTTGAAACAAAATCAACTTTAGTAAGATTGTCTTTAGATCAATGACCAATAATTGCAAAGGTCTTACTGTCAACATCAAAATAGAAGAAACCTATAACTTTGTACCATATCAGGCCAAGGTTTTTTTGTTTGGCTTTTTTGTTGTTGTTGGGTTTTGGATTCTTTTAGTCAAACCTCCATATCAGATTTGAGGTTGCAGGTTTTCTGCTCGTGATGTTTGACAATTTCAGCAGCATTCTAAACAACCTGACTGAATCGGAATAAATAAAATATGTCTAAAAAATACAAATAGAGTAACAGGAGAACATACATCACTTATTATCTTTGTTATCGCAGTTGCCTTTTTTATGTCTGGCCTGTTCAGTACTTCAGTGTATCTATGAGTATCTTGCACATCCTTCTTATAGGATACCTGTCAAACAAAAAGAAACAAGCAAAAAAAAACATTTGAACTTTATAAATAAACTTTGAATGACGTATCAACTCAGTCATCAAATTCAACAGAACTCTGCCTAATTTATTCCAACACAGTCCTGCTTAACAGGGATTATTTAGTAAGACCCACACAGGTTAACAGGATAAGGAAGGAATTCAGAAGCATAAAATACAATATTAAAATGAAAAATGGTTTTGCTTAGAAGCATAGTGGAAAATGAAAGCACTGCGAAGACAAATATTAGGTTTTGTCATTAAATTTCAGAGGACTTCCAAGAGTACAACATTTTTTTCTGTGCTGTACCCTTTTTAATAGAAACTAACCCCGCTATGATACTGAGCACTGCAGCCTAGCAGATTGCAGCTACACTGAACAGAATCTGTAATTCTACCACGGTGAATGTCTTTCTCAGTAATAGGCAGCCGTGTAGCTGATATGTAATTCAACAACGCAACTCCACCCCAGCATCCCCCACTCCCTGCAAGTCCACTTATCTGCTCCTTTACACAATCATGGGAACAAGAAGGCTGAGTGTTCCAGCATGTGGAATACAAGACTGTATCTTTCTGTTTGTGCAAAAGCCACTACTCTAATGAATGAGCTCAGAAAACTTTGTCCAGAAGGCTAAACCACAGGTAGGAGAGTCCAAATATTCTCCATTTAGCAAAGCAATCACAGGAACAGCATAGACCTCAGGGGCTTTACAGAGCTCCAAGACTGCAAGTTTTCCTTCTTCTCCCTCTTCAGGGTCTGCAGACTTTTCCCTCTCCCTTGCTGTAGCACATGTGCCAATCTAAGCCAATTTAAAAGAGCTGTCTTACTGAATTATTCTGAATGATTAAGAAAATTGTCCCGGTATTCAAAATTGTCTGAGAAAGTGAAGTTTGAAGCAAACATAAAATAAAGTCTAGAGGAAATAGAAAGTATCAGAATAATTCCCGCTTTACTGAACAATCTTTTAGATTTTCTTCTGTTGTTTAACAAAATTGATCATCCTCTCAAGATTATATTTCACCATGAAGAAAGACTTCAGCTTGAAGCTTCACTTATAACCTCCACCTCTAGCTCCTATTTCCAATGTAAAGTTTTACTCTGGGTACAAAGCAACAAACTCATAAACTGCAGCACCCAATGACAAATATATTTGTAGAAATGTTACTCTAAAAAGCGAAGAAAAAAAAATCTTTTTGGCAAATATTTTACAGGCAACTGGAAAGCAATTTTGCATCCATATGGCTTCAGTGAAGTAGACAAGCTAAACAAGCTTCACTGTTGGCCATTTGCCCACAAATAGATCTTATAATTTTTAACTTACAATAAGTGACACATAAGTGTAATCACTGATAAAATAAATAAATAAATAAATAGGCTGGATGAATACAGTCCAAAGTATCACTTACCGAGGAAACAGAAACTGTTCCTTACAGCTTGTTAAGACCGCTGGAAGTTTTGTTTCAGTGAGGTTTAGATTTCCTCTAATTTTTTAAGAAACTAGATGTACAGACAAGCATTTGCAATTTGGGGCTTTACATGAATTTAATTATATGCTGTTCATCCTAATGACCACATGAGGTGAGGTGAAAACCACAAAGGCAGCAGAAACAGGTTTCTGAATAGCACCCTATCATCCATGTAAATTGCAAATTAAAGGCCAGCATATGTGCTCAAAATAGAAATTAGGAATGGAGTGAATTTAACAACAGAGAATCAAGAACAGTGGTGATAAAGTTGAGGAAATGTGGTCACTTATTGCTCCCAAATGACATGATCATATAGTACATGAAATAATGGATTGTGGTTAATTTCAAGGGGAAAGGGGGGGCGGAATAAGACAGTGACAGTCCTTTATATTTCACCATTTTCAATTATATTAGATGCAAGGCCAATTGCTATAGCTTTCCCTGAGTGAATTATTATTCTTCCTGCACCTAAACCATTACTTATGTCTGAGGGAAAGTCATCTAGCATTTTACAAATGTCTGCAATATATATTTGCTCCATTCTGCAGCTTGTCATACTCCGGTGAGAATAAAAATGTTATGCAGCAGAACAGTAGTTTGTCAGAGGTAGGCCAAAGAAAGAAAAAATATGTTTCCCATTTCCTGAATAACATCAATCCCTGGATGCTGACCCTTTCCCATTGGGACAGTGTGCTGGCCTCTATTACACAGCTGCTATTCTGTTCCATGTAGTGATCTTTTATTTTTTTTTTTTACAGTCCTATGTTAGAACAGTAAAACCAGAGCTATTCTGGCAGAGCAGGGGAACAGATGTAGGCAGGGCAAAGCAACCAGCTTGGTGTGTGCACCCCTGGGCACCAAGATGGAAAGTAGAGAAGCCTGCGAAAGGGCAGAAGAGAAAATGAAGCCTGGTCAAGCAACACAAGATAGGAAACCACAGAAGGACCCAGGGAATGTGACATCTTGTCTCCTGAGCTGGTTCGGCCCCTTACCAAGAGGCTGGAACCTGCAGTTCCCTGACTGGAACCTGCAGGCATTATACAAGGCCCTTACGCAAAAGATCTTACTTCAAAAGATTGCTCAGGTTCTACCAAAAAACATCACCAAAGTCTCAATAATTACTCCTTTTTATGAAGACCACAGGTCTACAAAACATCTGCACAAACTGGCCTTTGCATAGGAAAAAGTAACAAAGATTCTGACAACTTAGGAGCAGCAGTGAAAGACCTAAATGGAGAGTTACAGAAGACCAGTGGGAAATGTGAGCAAGAAAGAAGCTAGGACAAAAAAGGAAAAATGTTGTACTATCTCTGCTTTTGAAGTTGCAAACAGTAAATTACAAGTACTAACTAAAGGTAAAGTGGTTTTCTACCCTAATTTTAAACTACAATAAAAAGTGGTTACACATTGTTGAATATTTTTAAAGAACAAAAGCCATTTCTTGCCTTTAATCCCAAATGTGATTATATATTCTGAATTGACAGTAGTTTTTGCAAAGCATGGAAAATATTCAGGGCCTGCCTATAATTAGTAGACTAATTGTAAGAGGTCCAAATCTCCAGCTCTTATAAAAAGGCATGCTTATTCTCAGCCAGTCTATTTACTCCAGTTAAGGGTCCTGAAGATGCTTCACCTTTCATGATGGTGCCAGTGTATTGGAATGCACTACAATGCTGCAAAGTAAACAGATTTCTAACAAGGCTGCAAAACATCTCAGGTTGTCAATCAACAAACGGAAACTTCTGCTACATGGTCACCCAAGCACACCTAGGTCTAAAGCACTCAGACCTTTGCTGCAGTCTTTTGTCTTCTCCCCTATTCTAATTCCAAAACTATTCCAGACTATAGGCAATAAATTACTAAAATATGCACAAGTAGCTATGAACACATTTTGTCCTCTTGAGATGCACACACAGAAGTCAGCAAGGTGCTGGGCACACCTATCTGCAAGAGAATGTGTCTCTTACTGTTTGTCCCTGCTTAGTATTTTCTAAGAGCTGCAAGTGCACTAATGGCCTGTCAGCTGTGTCTCTGCCCCCTTTTCTCTCATCTGCACTTTGGGGTCCATCAGCACTAAGAAAATGGCTAGCTGGTGACAATCATCATTGGCAACAGTTTTTCTGATCCCCACTCAAATGGTGTTGAAAACTGTTTCTGGCTGGTGTAGAAGAGACAAACTAATTTCTGGCCCATTACAGATTGATGCAGTCATCCTTTCCAGTAATGGGCTTGAAAATTGATTGGTCCCAATTACATCAGGAGTAAACACATCATTTTCAGCACCAGTTGGAAGTGGTCCAGGGAGACCTACTGTTGACAACCACTGTCAGCAGAAAGTTAGTCAGTGAAAGGTGATTTTTCTAATGCAGATGCTGAAGAGAAAGCCAGGAGGAGCTTGACTTTAGCACAATCTGCATCAAAACAAACATCTACATTTTGGAATGCTATTGATGGTGTTTAAGCACATCAAGTTTAAGATCTGCTGATTTAATCTTATCAGAAAGAATGTAAATTTTTTTGGTGTGGATTGTGACCGCACAATATCCTGAACAAGAAAAAAAAAGCTTACTCCTAAGACAAGAATAGATTTTTTAAATATTCCAATGTAGATGGTCATTGAAACATTATATATTACCACTACTGACATCATATGGACTGCAAAGAGCATACATATACATCTAAAGTTTGCCCAACTACCAACTAATATTATAAAAGCGGCACTGTTTCATAGATAAGAGAAAAGATACCAGAACACCAATCTCAGATGTGCAAACTGCTTTTTAATTGTCCCCGAATGAGTCTATTGCAGTTTTCTTACTTGCAAAATCAGAATACCACTTCCTTATTTCATACAAAGTAATGCTGTGAGGAGAATCAATGATTTAACCAAGCAGAACATACAAATTGCTGCACAAGTACTTAACATTGTTTTGATATTCATAATGCCCAGTGATGGACCAGGTCATGGAACAGCCAAAACTGAATCACAGCTTTGAGTACCTCCTTCAAATGCTATGTGCAGCTTCTACCCAGGCACAAGGCGGCAAGTGTCTTCTTTGCTTTAGAAACTTAATTATCATGTCATTTCAATGTTCAGTTACTTTCTTCCATCAATCTGATCCTATACATCAGGTGAATCACTATTTTGTGACCTGACAGTTTTCTAAGGGCCACCACACAGTTTTGGCCCCCAGTTTGGAAACTTCCAGATGAGCTAAATGACACCAGCCAAGCACAGGCATAAAGTAGGCTGATGGTCCCTACTTCACTTTCCTCCAAATGCCTTTGGGTGCCGAAGTCACAGCATTAACATTCTCTTCACAAAACAGAAGGCCAATTTATATAGAAAAGGACTCTGGCTTGGATAAACATGCATTTGTTCAAGCATTATGTAGCATTTAAATTATATTTTAAGTAAATTCCCTATCATTTAAAAAGTCACTTTGGTTCCTTCTAGAGCAATTTTCTTCACTCTAAGTATGAAGAAGAGAAAAATGTTTTTCTTTTACATGATCACATTGTTCAGGAGATTTTACAGTATTTCCCCATTATGCAGCTTCAGCCCATGCTCATACAGTGTGTTAATGATATTCAAAGTGGTGTGAAGGCCTACAGCACATGAAAATTTCAAAATGTCAGCACAAATGTATTGTAAGTTGAATACAGTCTTAATTTTTAAAGGAAATTGCACATTTCACAGAGTTGAGTATAAATGTCAGCCTTATTTTAAGGCTGAGTAAATAGTCTTAAACACATCCTAATCCTATTAGATGCAAACCCTGCTTGTAAAGGTTGAATTGAATTGGCAGAGCATTGTAGGTAAACATGCATTCTGCTCCCTTAGGTATATTGTACTGAGTGGTGGATAAAAGAGCTTTGTCCTTCTATTCCCCCAGTAGTTTCCCTCCTTTTCCCCTGCATTTTCAAAGCTGTGATTCTACAAATAGCCTGAAATAGTTCAGAAAGACAAATGCTCCACAACTGGGATGCTCGCTATTCCATGCTCTGACTCAAAGACGAAGACTCACACAGCTCTTAATTAAACCTGTACTTACAAAACAAGAAATCCACAGCTATTCACTATGGTGCCCAAACAGCCACCTGCAGGAGCTGTGCAACTCCACTGAATAATAACTGGACTTATATAACTTGTTCCTTTATGTGTGATAAAGATATATCCTCATTGCACTGCAGCTCCCCAGGTGCCACCAGAAAAAATCTGTTCTTAAACAGATGAAACTAACTGGTTAGAGTTTTATGTTGGATATGGAGGGTTTGTTTGATTTTTTTGAAGCTTGCTCAGGCTGAAAATAATTTCCTTCGTATTTTTTTCATTATTTTTAACATGCTGTTAAAAGTTCTCATTTATCAAAACATCCTTCCCTCCTACGTTTGCCTTCATTTCCTTTTTTTTTTGATTGTTTTAAGGGTGAAAGAAGATGAAACAACAGAATCTCCTTTACTCTCACATCTGTACCCTGCTCTCCTTAATTCTGTTAGTAGGTGATGTACAGCTGTAGAAGGGGAATGGGTTTTTCACTAGCATACTAATCCTCAGACCATGAAGAATTTGATTCAAAAACTTGTCTCATATTCCTCCTGGTTCCCCCACCTTCTCTGAGAGGGACTCCCATCCCTCTTCCCAACATTATTTCCTTCCCTAGTAGTCCACCATCATTCCTACTGCTTATGGGGAGAGAAGTTCATGTTCCCAGCTCCTACGCTCTGTCAATCTGACATCCTGGTGCTTCGAACAGCAGAGACAGCCAGAGTTTGACAGGAAGAGGGAATTCTGTAATCAAGGCAGGTTGCAAATTACTGCTGGGAGTTCCAATGCAGGTATTTCCCAGCAGAAGAAAAAGTTATTCTTCAAACATAATGCTTCCCTGAAGTTTTCCAGCAGCCTTTTAATCAGCAGCCAGCTGTCAAGATTCTGCACACACATACATACATCTAACATTGACATTTAGCTTTCAGCCCACATAACCTAAGAGTCTTTGTTACTCTGTCAGTAGGGAAGACAGGGTAAATTTAAGTTAACTCAAAATTAACATCCAAGCTTCATTTTCTATATTGATAACAGCAAACAAATATCTTGTTTACATGAGAAACAAGTTTTAAAATCACATACCTACCTGACTTGACTTGCTTATCCAAGAAGAATGGAAATGGTTCATAATTTTAAAGGTATTTACATGTCAGCGGCTCATACCGGGTTTGTGTACCCTTTAAAATTACCTCACTATTTTAGCTAATCTTCTCCTAAAATTTACTTTTCTCATAAGTAAGCTTTTACGAAACCTAAGACATTTTTCTTTAACATTATGTTTGTATAATTCACGACACTAATCTTGGTAGCATTTCCATTCCTAGCAATGGTGCATTGAGCTAGTATAAGCTAGCTCAACCATGAAAACAAACCTGACATGAAACTAATAAAAAATGTAAATACTATTATTAGGCTTTTTTATATTGTGAAATCTTAAAGAATTTCAAGAAGTTAACAATCAGCTAAAAAAAAAAAAAAAAAAACCAAACTTTAAAAATATTGGTAAATACTATATTTATTTGTAAATTGTAAAACTACAAGAAATACTTTGGTCAGTGGCATGAACTAGTGACAGGCATGAAATCGAACGCTGTGACTCAGATTCTGTAAAATACGTCATAGATTGTTCTTTGGAACTCATTTGATATGTACTCCTGAGATGGGAACAAAGTTATTCATGTGCACAAAAGTGTGCAAGAGCAGGGCAGAAACAGCCCCCTTCTCACCTCTAAACAGAACCCTTGAGGAATTACCACATTTTGACAGTGTAAGACACTGAAACAAAGCTGGTGTTAATGTAAACAAAGAGCTTCATACACTTTTAAAGTACAGGTGGGTACACATGAATTCAGAGAACCTGCCTTTCTAATTTTATTTCAAACTGATAACACTTAGTAACAATTGCTACTAATAAACAATAACAACCACTTTCCAATGCAGTTTAGAATAAAAGTCACATACCATTACTCATAGCATATTTTAAGCACATATCATGTCACAAATTACTTCAGAGCAAATAATGTAAGAAAATAGCAACTAAAGAAATATGAAAATACTCCCTGCTCAATTCATTTCAGCTAGCTATAACAGATGTATCCACCCAAAACACGTGAACTAATTTTAGATGGGGGAGTACTTACATCACTCTGGTATTTATTGACTTCCATGGCATGTTTAATATCTGGAGGCTCCTTCATATGTGCATAATCTGAAGTTCCTTTCTCAGCATCATGTTTTTGTTTGTAGAGAACCTGAAAAGAGCAACATTATACTTCTGTGACCTCGGCAGAGCAGGTATAATAATACGATCTGGGTTAAACCCAGCATCGTAGTGCGCCTCTATTCAGGAAGAAACGTAATAAATAATTAAGCTCCTTAATGGAACCAGAACCCTGAAACGAGAGCAGCTTCTACCCAAAACAGGTATGTTTGGGTAGAACATGACATATGAGGCACAGTCAGCAGAGAGATTTCTCTGAGTCAGTTATTGCAGCAGAAGTATGAGTAGACAGGAAAAAAAAAATATACAGAAACAGAAAATTAACCTTAACAAGGTGTGAAGACAGCCCAGAGCAAAGCATACAGGAAAGCTTTTTTTGTCTTTTTTTGTTTTTCTGAAGACACACTTAAATTTATCAGCTAAGTAAATATTTCCTCAAGTTTCTTTTTCCTGTTTTCAGAAAAAAATATTTTGTGCGTTCCTCATAAAAAGGTTTACATGAAATACTCATAGCCCAAACATCTATTTCATCCACTCTTCGGAAATTACTAGTACAATACACCTTTTGACTAGCCCCCAGGTTCACAAAGAAAAATAATATTTATATTCAATTGTCAACATGGTAAAGGAAAATGAAATTGGATTGTGAGTTTATAAACAAATTTATTTTTTGTAATAGAAACTGAGCTCAATGTTGGGCTTCACTGTGCTGTGTTATACTTACATATACACACTCTCACACACTAAAGCTGCCGGAAAAGCTGATCTTGCACTTATCCTTGTCAGAAGCTTTTAGGCTTACATTAAGAAAATTCACCAGGTCTTGATGCCTGAGGAAGCAGCAAGCTTCAAGTAAATTCATTTTCTAATAGCTCTCAGGAGCAAGCATTAAAATAATCCCCAAGAAAACAGCAAATGCTAAATGAGACTGAAAGCTGACCAGGAGGAGAAGGATTTGAAACTAAAACCCCTGACAGCAATAAAAGAATACTGTGTAAGTCTTGAGATGGGAACTCCTGACTACAGTCATTCAGATTCTTTTAGGACAGGCTACTAGAACTGTGAGAAAATGTTGTATCTGTTTGTGTTTAAGGCAGCAAGACTGCATCTGAGTCACAGATCAGGGTGCCCAAGGCAATATACTAGCACCTGCCCTGACTATCTCAGATTACAAAATTATATAGAGGCTGAGAGATTAAAACAAAAAGGGGTTGTTTTGTTTTTGGTTTTTTTTACACTGCTACTACATGAATGCAAGTATCAAATTAGGAAACTTTAAAAGTGCCATCTCCTTATACAGTGTAAATGCAACATGATCAGGCCTCTGGGGAAACAAACACAAATTGAAACAAAAAAAAAAATTGTCTATAACCTCCCTCTACTGATACATCTTGCAACTGGCAAAGCAAATAATCTTTAACAAGACTGAAGCACCACTAAGAAATTCTCTCCTGCAGAAGTATAATCACTATATAAATATAAGCCACAAAAACTCTTGCTACTTTGCTTCACATTGTCACTTTTAAGACATTCCCCACTTAATACCATACTGAAAAGCACACTCATACAGTTACTTCCAAAATCTACTAATTTTCAGATATTTTATTCCATTGCCACTTTGCTGCTTCAACATCTATATTTTTCTGTTGGCAAATGGGCTATGTAACCAAGACATCAAAAAACAAAAGCACATCAACTCCCAGTACAAGAAAACTAACAGAAATTACAACTGAGTGTCCACTATCGTGGGAAAAATGACTGTTTCTTTAGCTTAATACAGGAATATTTGACTTGCTATTTGACAGCTATGTTCTTCCTATCTTTTTACATTATGCATATTAACTGACTCAGTTAACCTTGAAGCAAGCACAGACTAGGAGGAGTTCAATAGCTGTCTAGTTTAGTTTCGGACAGTTTAGTGCAGAACTGTTCCCACATCTGTAAATCAGTTCCAAGGAAGCATGAAACAATGTTTACGAGAATTATTTTAACAATATTCATAGGGCCATTATTTTACATGTTAACATGGGTATTTCTCATTTCATGTTAATTTTCAGATTTTAGCTAAACTGAATTTTCTTTATCAAATCTACATATGAAACTATGCTACAGAGAGATCAGGTATTATAGGTCACTAATGTAACCTCTACTCTGTAGTGGCACCATGCATTAACTCCAGAAAGACAAGCCAATTATTTAAGTAGGTACGACTTCAAATTGAACTGATTTGTAAGCACTAATTTTTTATTTTCCCTATCTCTCTTGCACACCAGTGTGCCAATAAGAAGCTGCATTAAGGAAGGCTTTGTGCTCTTTTAGCTTCATTCTGACTGACCCTCTGTTTTGGAATACTTTAAACACTATTCAATTTTTATTTTTATATTTCCCTTTATAGTCAGTAAGCTGAGCACCAAACTTAAAATCCACAATGTAGGATTTTGTAGGAGCAAATGTTCAAGAACACAAAAAATGCCATTCTAATCTCTAGATAGAGAATTTACATTATCTGATATATGTGTAAAACAAAACTAGAGAAGTACAGGAGACTAATACCTGCTACCATAAAAAAACAGGAAATCTTGAACATGAGATTTTTATACCATAAAAAGAATGAATAATTACTTAAAATGGTCTGATAATGTGTAATATGATCGTAAATGTGCAGTAAACCACAAAAATAGCTTTATCACAGTACAAAAAATACATATGAAAGTAAAAGGAGGATTCTGCCCACAAGTAAGAAAAACTGAAACTTTATCTGGAAGTTAAAAATACTGCTTAAGATTCACTTGGCTCATCATCTTCAAAGACAAACAGAAAATACTGTTGAGCATTGACATATAGTTACTAGTTGAGATATTGCCCTTTGCAGAGAAAATTAAACAGCTTTCAGTTTGTTTTAGATTACTCCTTTCAGATAAGAAGAAAAACAGTGCAATCTCTTCTTATAGCAGAAATAAAGTGTTGATAAATGTGATGAAATGAATACTTTTTTTCAACATTGTTTCCCCCTCAAGCAATTTTAAATACCTTTATCATTGTTTATGACACCTTAAAAAAATGTTCTGCATAAGGAAGAACTCCGTATACTGGTCGTCAGACAAGAAAAAGACCTGTCACAAAGCTAGCAATGATCAGAAATTTTCCTTCAGAAATATTTTCTACAGGAAAATTGCAATTTTTCCAGAAAATGTCCATTTCCTCTCAGGAAAATCAAAATGAGGGCTCCCTGCCTCATCAACTGCTCTGATCAACTTATTTTCTCATCGCAGAGAACAGGGAAATTGGTGAGAGCTTTGTAGGCTGGCAAGGAGGGTGAAGTTACACATTGGGGACAGGGACTTCTCCTGCTCTCTCTAGCTTATCCTGGGAACAGCTACGACAAAACAGAGAGAGGGAGGAATATCTGGTTGCTCACCCTCAAGAAAGCTATTTAGAAGGCGACAGTCAAATCTTCTGCGCAGAGGAAAAAATTAAATTGATAAAAGCTGCCCATATATGTGAGGCTATGAAATTTCCTTTTCATTCTCCTGAAGTATTTTCTACCCATAAATAGTGTCATGATTTTTTGACAGAATTGCAGATGGACTTCATTCTCTATGGGTATTTATTTCCATCTTCATGTCAGTTTTGTATAAAACACAAAAGACCAAATGTGGGCTTTATGCAAAAGCCAGCAGAGGTGCTCTTGGTTTAGCCTTTCCTGTGTATCTAGAAGAGGGAATCAAGCATGAATCAATACAGCCAATACGGGAAGAAAGCTCCACAGGAGGAGAACCACAACTGTCACGGTGTTGTACTCTCCGTTATGGCAAGATCCTGTTAGAGCTGACATTGTACAGCTGGAACCCTGCAGAACAAAGTCCTGGCTCTGCGGAAGTCGATGACAGTTGCCATATCAATCAGAGTATGCAGAAGTGATAGAAGCTGCTATGGAGCCTGTTTGCTCTGGAGAGGGCAGTGAAGGGCAGCTGTAGGTGGGGAATAATTTGTTGTGAGGAAAGGAAGTTTCCCCTAGTTGTCTTCAAGTTCATCATGAGTGTGATCAGAAGCAGTGTATAAAATTATTAAATTGGGCTAGATCTAAGTAGGCTGAATATGGAGCTGCTGGGCAGCAGCACCACAGCAGCAGCAATTCAGGATCAGACATCAAATCATGGGAGAGACCATTTGCCGAGGACGTGCCTGTGTAAGGAGATCACCCAGCTGAGGCATTCCAGACTCAGCAGCCCTGCGCCAGCAGGCAGCAGTGGGGAGAGGCAGTGGCTCTCTCTCTTCCACACCATGATCCCCTAGCCCCAACACACCCCCTCAGCAGTTGAGGCTACGGATTCTGCCAAGAACACGGCATCACAGAGTGAGAAATCACCTGCTTGATCTGGCTACAAAAGCATTCAAGCCTGGCCTTGCATCCAAGAAGCATGAAAAGGGAGTCAAAGGGGTAAATTTGTTTTAATGTGGATGGGGAGGAGGACACATACTTGTGTTTTCCACCTCTCACGAAATCAGCACCTATTTATAATTAACTTACTATAAATGAGAAACAGACTGCAGTTCTGTGCTTGCAACAGCCTTTTTGCAGAAGAGTTGGCACAACGGCCAGACCGTGCTGTCCTCTCTTCTTCCTACGGCGTACCCTTGGTCTCCTCTTGCTGAGGTGCTGACCTGTAAATTCACAATCCCAGCGAGATAGATGCAGCAGAAATCCTCTCTGCCATATCCTGACCCAGTTGAAATCTGAAATCCTTGAATTAGCTACTTAGGTACTGCAGTGATAGGCACAATATGGATTAGATTCGAATACTGTAGAGAAGATTTTCCACTAGAAAATCCCCTAGGATCTCTCTCAAAGTAGCATTAAATTCAGGTCCACTGCAACAGTAACCACAAGTTGGAAAAATGTGTCAGCGTATCTTTAAGTTTTATGGTAGATTATGATTTATAATGCATCTATTCCTAAGGGGACGGTATGAATTTTACAGGAAAAGTTTATGCTTAAATATAACTCATCCTCTATGCATATTTGTTTCTCTATGACTGTTGGATGACTGAAGAAAATCTTCAAAAAATATCAAACCAAAACATCAGTCTTTTCCTTAAAGGGTTTTTTTGATTAATCAAATGGTTTCATTTTCAGTCTCAGTTATTTATCTTTTCTGACACATCACTGATGTTAACCTCAATTGCGTAAACTAACGTATAATGTACTAATTTGGAATGAATCCAGGAGTGTGCCACAGATCTGTGGCAAACTAGTTAACTAACGTTTTATAAATCAAGCTAATGGTTTAAAAATGTTATACAAGTTTAATTACAAATTTATTTCTAGTTTAATTATTCTGATCACTCACTTTACAATGAAATGTCACATTAACGTAATTTCAGCTACTGTGCTGTGTTGAGTGTATATATGTTCTATTTCAAAATATGAAAACTAAAATATACTTTGTGTTTTTATATTTCCTTAATATAGCCTTAGTTAACTCATTGTATTAAATCAAAGCATTTCTCCACAAGCTGTCCTGAGATTTCAGTGCTTTCTTTTGTTATGAATATTCTACTTTATTTGTAAAAAAAATCTACCGCATTAGAAAAACGCATCTTGAGATACAACCAATAACACGGATTTAAGAGTTTGTTCACTTCACAGACTGGCTGTATTAAACTACACGTAGTTAGTATCTTTAAGAGAGGAGAAAGGCAAGACAAGAAAAATGTGGAAATACTTGGTGGACAGAAAGCCATGACCATCTATCAGCTGTAATTCTCATGAGTAACGATGAAAATCTGTAACTTTGTTCATATTACACATACTTAATACTCACAATTCCACTGAGATCAATGAAAGTGAAGGCTCACCTGCCCACATTAAGAGTATTATATTTTTAAGCCCCTGGAGGCAACTGAACTGGAATTTAATATTTTGCTGGTTGTCTACATGTTTTACACTATGTTTAATATACCTGGTTTCATTTTATTAATTCTATAAAATTTGTTTTGAGTGGTAGTATGCAGAACAGAAGTACATTTACAGCTACCAGTAAGTACCTTTAAAAGTCATTGAAGTATTTTATTTTTTTTCCCTTCAGCATCGAACATTTTATAAAGCTAATACAATACCCAAAATTAAATGGTTGTTATATAAGATTCGTCTATCCTATGAATGTGGTGCAATGTCACTGAACTCAATAATTCCTTATTTCATTCATGGATTTCCAAAGGATTTCATTGGATTGATTAAGCACTAATAGTTTTTTAAATTATGTTTAATAAACATAATGAGCCAGATTTATAACATTTTAAAAGTGAGTAGTTCTTTAATTTAAGAAGTTATGGTGATAAACTCTGGAAGATAAACTCACCCAAATTAATCAAGCAGGCAGTCAAGTATTCGTTCAAATTGGTCATATTCTGTCACACAATTTATATAGAGATAATTTTTATGATTTTAAAATTGTACCTTGCTCTGAAGTTGTGTTAATTCTTTTGCAAATACACTGTCAATAGTGGCTGGCATCTGCTGATAAAGAGAATTAGAAAGCTCTTTCTTAGCAGCTCCTTTGTACTTCACCTACGGGGGGAGAAGAAGGTGACACATAATGCAAAAGTTACATAAGATACAGTAAACATACAACATATTTTTTTCTATTAAGTAAAATGCCATAAAGACCACTAGAGCTGGAAAAAATCTAATGCGATCTTATAAACTTTCAAGCAAAACCAGATTTTTAAATAATAACTTTAAAAATACTTCAGGTGGATGTGTCTAATTCATGAAGCAATGTAAAGTACCTCCTAATTAAATTCAAGAATTTTGGGGGACATATAAAATAAGTATAAAACCAAAATTATCTTTTTTTCTTTCCTTCTTCCAAAGTTTAGCATAATAGAAGCAATGAGAGGCCTACAAAAATATTTTACTGATTAGTAAGTAGTAGCAATTAAATGTAACTAGAAAGGCAGGAACATTGAAGTTAGCATGTTTACCATCATTTCTAATTAATTTTCTCATATTACACACTAATTTTTAAATTACTTTTTATTTACGCGGTACTATCTCCAGTGTTCAGTACAAGCAATTCCTCACAAAAGGGCTTTGAGACAGGCCAGAGCAATAGTTCAAAATCTGGGAGGCTTTTGCTCCAGATCTAACTTTCTCAAATTCATAAAACAATAATGCTTAACAAAATTGCTGTGAAAGTAACCATAAATATCAAGGATATCTTAAATGGCACTGTCTAATATAATTAATTTACTGCACAATACACAACTGTTCATCAGAGACTAGTTCCCCATACATACTACATATATCAATAATTTGCTGTAACATTTGCTGGTGTTTCCCAAAACAGAGGGCTCTTTTTCACTGCTGTAGACATGCTGTTAAGAATTTCAGTGTTCAAGTTTTGCAGAAACAGGTTATGGGACACTAGAGGTCAGTAATTTACAAGATAAACCATCCATCACATCATTGACTTCAGGTAATTCTTCAATAAGAAACAGTGCACAACAGTGTCATAACACAAAACATACGGTCTCAGAATTCTGAAATATCCTCATATCTCTCAATCTTTGATGAATAATTAGGACCTTCACTTTGGAATTAGACAAATGGATTAAATAAATTCTCTATATTGTGCTTTTGAACTGAAACTGCGGTTTTCTACATCGTGCTTTTGCTCCAAACCAGCAACTCCTTAACAAAAGCATCTCTGTGTCAGGTAAAATTCCTGCTGCTGTTCTCACCTGGGAAGAATAATCAGAGACACAACCCTAGAACACCTTGTACCTGAGACATGAAGAGCTGACAGTAAACTCTGCTCTGGCATTTTGGAAGCTGCCTTTCTTTCTTTGCCACCACAGTTGTGTCTGTGTGTGCATCTGTGTACACATGAAGACCTAAAAACTCTGACACTGGTATGCATATATATACACCCAAGTGCTCAGGCAATTGTACTGGGTTTGTCTGAGCTGGAGTCAATACCCCCCAAGCATCCCTCCCAGTGCTGAGTGTCACCCTGGCAGCCAGCAGGGGGTTTGTAACACAGCCTGGGAGGGGGCGGAGCTGGGACAGCTGACCCGGATTGGCTGTTCCATACCATGTGACCTCAGCTCAGCCATAAAAGCCAAAGGTGGGGAGGAAGAGGGGGGTATTTGTTACTGTGTTTGTCTCCAGGAGCAGCTGCTGCACATACTGAAGTTCTACTTTCCTGGGAAGTGGCCAGGCATTGCTTGTTGATGGGAAGTAGAGAAAAACATTTTTGTTTACCTTTCATTTCCGTGCACGCCTTGGCCTTTGCTTTAATTAAACTGCTTTTATCTTGACCCACGAGTTTTTCATCTTACTTTCGCCCTTTATTTTGCTGAAGGGGGAGTGATAGAGGGGCCTGGTGGGCACCTGGCATCCAGCCAAGGTTAACCCACCACAGCGACCTGGGGATGACATTGACCTGATGCCTGCCTGGGTCTCCTTGCTGAAGAAGGAAAGGGGTGATAACATGGTAACAGCTTCCTTCTCTCCTTCTGTTTGATATCGGGCTGTGAATTCTCCAGAGCAGGGAAACTACACACAGGTATAATTTGAAAGCCTCATCACTGCAGAATAACTAACAAGAAATCCTTTTCCTATTCCTCAGTTTTTCCATCCATAAAATGGGATAGCTAAGACTGTCTCAGAACCATTTATAAAACAACTTAGAGTCCCAGAATGTGTTGCTTAATTCCAAATTATTATTACTGATATATACAGTACACACTAATTACCTAACAGAACTGTTATTTGAAATGAACTGTCCTTCCCCTGCTAAAAAACCCACAATATTCAATTAAGAGAGTTTTTACAAAGGATAAGAAGCAAAGGGAGTTCTTCAGTCTTTTAGGTCTTACCTCAGAAATAAAAGCACCAAGACTTTTCATATGTTTTAGCTGTGGGGTGTCAGGTACAAATATGCACTTGCCCTTAGATTTTCTAAAGTCTTCTTTATAGTGTATCTACAAAGAGAAGAAAAAAAAGTTTAATTGTTCTTTAAAAAAATCAGAAAAACAAACAATGGATTATTATTATTGTTATATATGGATACTATGCTGACTGGCTTGCAAATACCTCAGGCTGCATTAAATTAGTCCACAGAGGGAAATACCCAGTTCCCAGACACAGTACCAGGGTGTGTAAAAGTCACAGAACTCTTTATTATTAAAGATTAAAAAGATACATTTTTTTCTACATCTACAGCGCATTTTCACCATTCTCTGTAGATGTTCTAGTATTTCTAAAGAAAGGAGAATTGAATAAAGTATTTTCTCCTTCATCTCAAAGATGAAATTGTTAAACTAACTTCTAACACAGACCCATCAAGCACAGGATCTGTATAACACAAACAAAAGCCACTGCCAAATGCTTTTTGAATCCAAAAGTTACACAAAGAAATTCAGAAGGCCACTGCCAAATCATTGCCTACACAGCACCCCAACAGTCATAACACGCAGGTAATATCAGAGTTTAGGAGCATTTCATTTTAAATTGAGACATTTTTAAAGTCATATGTATGCACAACAGAAACAATTTTTGAAGCAAAACACAACATATGTTGGGGGTGGGGGGAAAGGTGCTGATTTTTTTTTTTTTTTTCCCAAACAACCAACCTTTTTCTTACCATGGGGTGGCAAACAATACAGGCAGATGTAGTAAGCAGTTATCTAAAAAATAATCAAATGACTGATGATTAAGTCAGAATTAGAGTTTGTATTACTGAGACTGTGAGGCGGACGAAGTCCATGGACGTGATGAATGTGGTGAATCTTTATTATGTAAGAACTGCATGTCTATGATGAGATGGACTACATACATTGTAAAGACAGACACCTCACATGGACTAAATGTGTTTAAGTGACCTTTCCTTCTTTGTACATAGAATAGTTTAGTTCGACACAAACTGAATTACAGTACTAAGCTTTCATGGTTATTATCTGCTACCATGCCTCTAACCTCATTTTCACATTCTGCACAACAGCAGCTTGCATTTAAGCACTCTAGACTTGCTGACAAGCACTGACAGAAGCAATATGATCTGCATCTGAGCATTACAGAAATATGCAGTCTTAATTTCCTCTTCCTTAATGAATATCACAAGTTCCAGTCTACACTCCTCTACAGGGACTTGGAAAATTCAGGGAAAAGATGGCAGCTTACACAGAATCAGCTCCTGTACTTCCTGATGCAAACTTTTTGTCCACCGCAAAATGGATTAGATAATGCCAAATTCATCTCAAACTGATGACTACATAATCCTCACAAAGGAAATAATTTTGGTTACTATTATGTTCATCCAGGTTTGAACTACCGGAGGAATCTACATCTTATTACCAAACCATATTGTCTGCCTTGGTGGATTACCGTGTATACTAAATAAAAACCGTACGGTGAAGAACGGGTGTAAAATTACTGTGTATCATCACTTTACCCAGGGACACATAAATACAAAGGCTCACGTAATCTGTGTGTGACACTGTACTTGTAGGCAACTACAGAGCAATATACAAAAAGGGCAGTTTTATGATAAGCAGGAGCAGGCACTTACTGTCAACCTGCACACATGGACTGGCTTGCGTGCATGTACTTAGGGAGCAGGGAGGGGAGAAGGAAGAGGCGAGAACGTGTACATGAACAGCTTGAAAAAAAGCTTTGAAGAATTATGGTCATGCATGGTAATATGGCTGAGAAGTGATGTATGTGGGAAATCTAAAGCCCTGACTGTCTGTCTACTGGTTAGGTTTGATGGCGTTCCCAGTAGGAACTCCTGTAAAGTTGAGACTCTGGTAGAGGAGATGGGAGAGTCTTGCTGCTCACAGCTTAGATAAATCACTCACACATAACTGAGAGCTGGCTGTAATTACATCCATTTTAATTAAAGAGCAATAATTACATTTAAAAATCAAACATGAAAGCCTACCAAGGTATCTCTTAATTGCGGAGTTGATGACACAACACAACACAACTAGAAGAAGCAATCAAAGCCGTTCTGCTGTAGAAGTCATGCTTTCAAAATAACCAAAAGCAGTAAAGGACTAATGTCACCTCCTTACTCCTTTACTATTTGAATTTATTAGAGTAACCCACAGAGGCCACAAAATGCACAAAAGCTCAAATGAGCAATTTAGAAAGGACATATAACAAAAGGCGTGGTCAAACTCTGATGCAACACACTCCATTCTGCTACAGAAGTGTCTGCATCACTTGGAATCAGGAAGGTGGAAGATGAAATTGGACAAATATAATGAAGTCATGACATCTGCACTTAAAAAGCATACTTATTGTAAATGACATAATCAAGAGGCTTAAGAGGTTGGCTATGACTGAACATAACCAATGGCTGGAAGGAATAACATTCATCTTCAAAGGCTGGAGTTACAAATTCACATGTCTAAAATACTGAACAGGAAATTTTGCCTGCAAGTGACTTACCCTTCACTACAAAATACACTGCTTAGGTTGAATAGATCCAGTAAGCCTTGCAAAAAAAAAAAAAAAAAAAAAAAAAAAAGATAATACTAAAAATTTGCAAATGATGGCCTGGAGCCACCAGTGCTCTTTTGATATACTTCTGAAGTCCATTAGCTCACTAAAGGGCCAGTTTTTAATAGCTCTCTGTCCTGATCCCTTTCTTCTTCCTGACTCATCATAAAACTACTCTGACCAGCAGCACAGCTATCCAGTAAAAGTGTATTAAAATTCCTAGAAAAACACCAAAACAGTAAGCTTCAAATTGCATTTCTTAATGGATGTTACTTTATGAAACAAAGGCATCTGGTCTTTAAGCTGAAGCTTCCTGGTTCACCAAGAAAATTCACCTTGCCCATGGCCTCTCCCTTCAGCCTTTTTCATGAGGGAAACACAGGAGACTGTGGGCTAAGGGAAAGACTCTGATGGTAACAGCTTAATCCAAGCAGCCACTTTTCCTTTGTGTTCTGGGACACACATTAATTTAAATTGTTTTTAGTATCTTGACATCAGTGATGTAACTGTGTTGACAGTCATCACGCCAAGATCCATTAGAGAACTGTTTTCTGTCAGAGGCCTATTTAAGCTTAGAAAAGCCACAAAAAGGTCTGAACCTTCTTATCTAGAATTTATGCTAGACCAAAAGGCAACTTTTTTCCACTAAGGATTCCCTCTCCAACACTACTTTTCTTAATTCATAATCTCTCATAAGACTAAGAGCTATGTCAGACTACAGATCCTTCTAATGCAAAATCCTCTGTGGCCACAGAATCGTAGAGAAAAGTATGAGAATAGGGAAAACATACAGTATCACCAGTCTCCAGCAATTTGGACCTCTAAGTCCTCCTGAATTACAGGCTGTGCCTAGTAATGGTGAGCCCAGAGGCACAGGTCCACCCTAAATTAGGTGGTCACAACCCTATTGATATCAGTGGAAAGGCATCCTTTCTGCACTTGACTCAGCCAGCCTCTTTGGTCCTTGCTTTATAACAAATAGACATGCTAAAGCAAAGTTGGACTCCGTACAAGGACAGTTAAATGGCAAATAGTACTACTTCTTGCTATACGGGAAAAGTAGCACTGGTACCATACATTACCAAAATTCAGCGGAGTCTTCAGAAGCAGATAGTGTGCCTCTCTACCGAAAAGCATTATGATAGTTTGTTCAATTATAATTTTATCTGTATAAAAATTCCCTCTCTGCTTATAACAGTATTCACAACATCATACCACACAATCAAAACAAAGAAGAGATTAAAATATACCAAAATATAAGTAATACAAGCAAATAGACAGGCTCATTTTCAGTATGGAAGAGAAAATGTCTGGAAAGGAAGGTAATTCATATACAGCAAACACACCTGACAGTTTTGAAAACATCTGTGGAATAAAATTGTATACTGGAAGGAGATTAAATGAAATAGCTTTAGGGAGAAACAAGCCGGGGGCATCACAGTCACAAAACAAACATCTGCCAAACTCAAATGAAAAGGGGCATTTCCTCAAGAACCAGAGCACACAAACACTTCACAACTTCCCCTACACACGGTTCAAGGCTGACAGCTACACATGCATTACGTGCTGCCATCGTAATACTTCTCTAAAACCATATTGCCAAATTAAAGTCAGCCTGCAAAGAATGCAGGGCAAGTGTAATGCAACCCCAGTATCTCAGTCATGAGCACTCCTGGTGCTGTGTTCTGATGGAGGAGCTGCGCTGACAGCTCCACTGGCAGAAAAGGACAACACCCCAGTCTCGTGGTCAGCAAGGACACAGGCTGCTGCCCCAAGGTCATCTTTGGGCCAAACTCCAAGCATCATGAAACCATCATACACAAAAATGTACAGATGTACACCAATGATATATCCTCACAAACAGCAGTTTGTGCAAAGATCCATGCTAAAAAGGATAAAGAATATATAATAAAGTTCTGAACATAATGAGCCAAAAATCAAAGTCAAGAATGTGAACTCCTTACAGTTTATTGGCCTCCACAATGAAGTGTGCAGGCTGAGGAATTTACCCCCCCCAGCACAAAAGACTTCACCGGTCATAAGAGATTCCAATTATAGCAAAAATTCTGGGAAACAAAATTCACCCCCTACACATATGCATATTCCATTCAAGCCAATGAAGAAACACCTACTGACTTCAGCAAAGGCTGCATAAGGCCCCAAAATTGGATGCCATTTTTAAACAGAGTCTCTTCTTTGAAATTGAATTGGTCTGGACCATTACATATCACTACAGCTCTGAAAGCATTAATGACACTTTGTCATTAGGTTTTATGTATCTAAGGGAAAATCTAACACACTTGCAGGCTAAACACACCACAATTTTCCAGCAAAAGCCCACATCCCTGAACCATTATAGGCTTCAGAAACATGGCTTGACTTAGTTATGTACCTTAGCTTCTAAGCCCCCACAGAAAATCAGAGAAAATACAGCCACTCCATTTATCAGCTAATTAACAGCCACAGCCAACATTACTCCTAATGGGTACACAGCACAGTAATAACTCCTTTCTAATTAAAGAAAATATTTCTTCAGCATTTTTCAAGGAGTTTCTGCCTCTAGGAACAGCAACCATGTTTAGGAACAAGTTGCATGGAAGCAATAAATGTATTTTGGGTCAGATAAGTGTTCCAGGTCCATTTTCATTTTGGCCTTTGCATGAGTTGGCAGGCACTTATTGTACAACATACCATTCTTTTCCCAAAGAAACCATGTAGATAACCAGCAGTAAAAATATCAGTAATCTCTACTACTTCCTAAAGTAGCTTGAGATTACAAAGAAGCCGTCTTGGTAGCTTCTCTTAAGGATCTATCCAATTTTCAGCACTCTTTCTGTGAAAATTAAAGTATTCAGACGGTGTATGGACAAAGAGGAAACTTTGACCTTGTCAAGTCACACTTTCAAGCCAGTACTGTAATGCCTACACATCCCACAGCTGTTTTTCTGAGTTACCTATTCTTTTCTGATATGTAACCCCTATTAATTTATACCTTAAGTGTAGATTCTGTATGTTCTATTCTCATAAAAATAACATACTCATTCACCTTGAACAATAACATCCCAAATCTAAATACCAGATTACAACACAAGCCAGATGTCATTTTTCTGTTTCTTTAGAAGAATACTCATTAAAGCAAGTCACTCTCTCCTCATTAATGTCTCCTCTGCTGCCAGCCACCATCCTCGCAGGAGAAATACCACTCTTCACTCCCATTCACAAGGAGGGACAAAGTTACTCTTCAGACACACTTTCCCTGAGGGACACAGAAACAAACTTCCACCAAGGTAAATCTGATGCTGCTACATTGAAGCAATTGGATATACTCCAATTTAAAATGTCTTGGATCCGGTCTATGATGTTTATATAATGTCTGTATCTGACGACAGTTTTAAAAATCCATAGTAACTAAGTCAAGAAATCGCTAGCTAAATAATTTTTAAAGATATTCTAGCATTTCAGTGGCTTCTTCCTCTAAGTGTAAGTCAACAATAATACGCTAAGCAGTTTTGAGCATTTATCACCACAGACCAATAGATAATACTCAAAATTCATCTGTTTTATTTTTATCCTCCCTCCTCACAGCTATATACACTGGCACCCAGTTCTGTCTTAACCAATCAGACTTTGTAGGATTAGACTATAACTAGAAAAAATACTGTATTTTTCGATGAAATCAGCAAAAGTGTTCCTAAGGGAGACACCCTCCACATGAGACCCACTTTTTGGAACATTCTCCTTCCTAAGGCCTAGGCTTCATACCATCCAGGTGCTCTGAAAACCTCATCCTGCTGCGGCTGATAATTTAAGGCACCAGAGTAGACTGTGCTTTTCTGTTATTTTGTGTGCTTTTATATTAGAGTCTTAGATGGGCACATGCTGCACTGTATATATTTGAAAAAATAAGTATCATCAATATAAACCCACTTGAAAAGAGAAATGCAAATGTAAGGATGCAAAGAGTCACCATCACTTACATCACTTATTATTTCACTGCATTTTCGGGCCAGTTCCATATTTCTGTCCTTAATAACAGGCTTGAGGAAGACCTGTAAGAGAAAGGTAACCATTCCAGGTTTATTGTCCTGAAAGGGTAACAATATAAGAAAATAAGTAATTTTCAAAGCTATTGGGGTTTAACTCACCTTTTGTTCTTCTTCATCCTCATTTTCATCTTCCCTGAGATCCTGAATGACAGATACTCGCATTTTAATACTTCACAGAAAACAATAATGAAAACTCTAAAAAGGTTCAGCGCTGCAGGAAACAGCTCAGACCCTACAGCATGCCTGGAATCAATGCTTCATTTGTGTCCTCCACTGCACTTAACTCTACCAAGGCTCCTTCCTTATTTAGGCAGCACTTGACAGTCTTTATCTGAACAATTCCGTGTGAGTGAACTGAAAGGCATTGCAGATGGCCTTGCTAGCTATCAGTTGCAGCAGAGCTAATGCTTTCTTACAGATAAAATATAATTAAATGACCTGTCCCAGTCAACTATTTCTAAAATGACTATGAATACACTTAATTAGAATACTGTGATGCAGCTAATTCGTAATTTAGTAAAATTAACAGGCTTAAAAGGGGAACACTGTCTCTAGGGTTATGGGAAAACTGCCCAGTTCTAAAATTTAAAGCATCACCAACTCCAAAACCAGTTATCACAGAACCTTATTTTGTTGGTCCAGTAATAGAGCTTTTTGATTTAAAAAAGCACACTATTCTCATTTTCCAGTAGATGTAACTGCTGGTGTATTTTTCAGGAAATATTCCTTTTCCATAAAGCATATAAAATTCCTTAAATGCTTTGCATATTATGTCACCAGAAGGTTAAACCTGTGCATACATAGATACAAACACATCTCTATACTTAGAAGTATACTTGGCTATGTATTTACACAAACATGAATGTTCCTTCACTGTTAAAAATTGTCATGGTCTTGTAATCTCAAAACCAACCTTTTCCAGTATAAAGTCATTGACTCCAGCTGCAATGAAACGGAAAGACATCCTTATATCAATGGATATAATGTCACAGTGTTTGCTTCTGTAAAACAAGCAAGGAGGTATTACAGTTGGAGTAACCAGCATTTTAACAGTATTTTTCTTTCCAAACTGTAGCTTGTATACTTCTCATTTTATAGAGGTCAGGACTTTGAACTTCATTTAGCAAAGTGATTCACCATTACACAGCTTTGCAATCAGGCAAAGATATAAGGAATGTGTGCTCTTAAAAAACCTCTTCAAAGCATTTTAAGTACTTGTGCCCAAACACTTGTGTCCTTAGAGCTTATTTAAAAACACACATTTCCTTAGAAAAAGAAACATTTCAAAGAGGAGGAAAAATACAGCATTTGACTTAGTTAAGGTGTGAAAAATTGAAATAAATATATTAAGAACCAAGGCACAAACTGCTTTCAGTCTATAATAATCAAGAGACAGAATTCTTTATACATTGATAGTACAGAAAAGTACTATCAATTGCACTATTACAACTATAAGCTCCTGAAGTTCAGATGTGGTTTGGCATTACTGAAGTTCAGGTTGAAACCTAGAAGTCTGGTCTGTATAGACGAGAATTACCTGGAATTTATGCTGACTACTTTTGGAGCTCAGGATGTTTCATCCTTGTAGAAACAAATGGTTTGGTCTTATAAGATGGATATTCACAGTAACAGCTCATTTTTTAAGTTTATGGTCACAGTAAATATATTCCTAAATAAGACACTCATGCATGATTTCAGGGACCACATGCTAAGGAGACAGAGTACCTACAAAAGTGCCAGACAGAAATGCAGCACCAAGCATTCAATTTGGGATTTTTGTTATAATATTGCAAATACTATATTCTTCCAGTGCAGTTAATTTCCCTTTTCTTCCTAGATTTAATAAATTTTTCTAAGTGGAGACATTGAAAATATTTAAGAGAGGAGAGAATAGCTATTAGTAGCTGCAAAGCTACTATTTTTATTGCTATTTTTTGCACCGGTAAGCAAATATGGTCAGAATGACAAAGTCAAAACTGTTTGGGTTTTGGGGGGGGCGGGGGGAAAGGGAGTGTTCAGCTCTTTAACATGCTTACATTATATCTGGTGTTTTTTCAGCAGCTCAACATACCAAAAATTTATATATTAATTGTGGTTTTCCTGTAATGGTTACAGTATAATAAAGATCTGCTTTCTCTTTAGCATGATCTCTAACTGATTGAATAGAATTCATTTTTTCCCATTTTTCCTGTGTCCGGCATAACTGAGCATTCAAATATGTAATGTCCAATGTAACTTCCATTATACAAGGATCACAAGACAGCTGCTATAACTCATCACACTAAAGAAAAAATATAATACTATGCACAAAGGGAGTAAGGGAAAAAATACCACAGTATCAACTAACCATACACAAGTTATTCAAAAAGGTACTCTTCACATAACAGATGCAGTAAGAGACTCTGTAACACAGAAACCTGCCCTCCTCAAAACACTGAATACTGTCACATAACATTCACTGTATAATAAAGCAAGCCTGAAAATTAAATATATCCAGATACAATTCAGAGAATAATTTGTTATGACCACTTAAGAGCTGCATGGTTTGGAAGCGCATTATGATTCTATTAGCAGCCTGCAGGTCAAGAACAAGCTTAGGTTTCTTCCATAAGTGGCAATAAATAAATCAGGATCAGCAGGCACGTTTGGCATCGCAAATGTTTGTGTATGTTTACAAATATTTTTAAAACTACTCTAAAAATATTAAATCTAATCTGAACACAGACCTAGTTAAAACGCTGAGCTTTAAATCCCCAAAACAATTACAAAATACATTGTATTAAAGATTACTTTTCATCTGCAAAACCTGAATTTTTACCAAAAACTCCAAACTGACACTTCTGAACCATTTTCCACTGTATATAACAGAACAATTTGTAGTGATCTGTTCTGGCATGAAACAGCACAGATTAAACAAAATCCAATTGTACATAATTTTAAGAAAACACTGTGACGGATTGCTAAACTGTGTATACACGATATTTGTATGCATACTGGGCACGGAAAAATTAGAATTTATTATTATATTACAGATATCTTAACATGCACACAAAGACAAGAAAGGGGTTCTTCAGGGAAGTACCCAATATGAACTCACTCAAATTTTGTAAGGGAATGCTGCATAGCTCCACATTGCTACTTCCAGACATCCTGCATGGATGTTTCACATCTCGGTTCAAATTTACCCTTAAGAACGAGGCTAATTTGTCAAAGAAGATACAATAAAATCAAAATAACTGTACATTGTCTAGATTTTTCACAGCAGCAGAGTATTTGTAGTACACAATCTTCACTGTATATGGACTTTTGGTAAAGACAAGCCTTCTAGAAGCAAACTATGTGGTTTATCCTATGAAAGGAGACAGCTGAATCTCCCAATACAGTCATAATTCAATTGTGTCAATGTACTATTTTTTCCACACAGAACTTTATTCAAATACTTGGTCTACATGCGTATCTGCTGAGGAGGCAGAAGGGGAAGAAACATGGTGTACAAAGGAGCCCGAGTCCCCAGGAGTACAAGTTGGCCTCACGTGTGAATGGTTCTGACGCACAGTTGTGCAGCTTTCCTGCTTTGATCACATACAGCTGTGTCCACATCTGGCCAAAGCTGCACCATCTCCTTGTCCCTTTATCAATTTTTGAAGAAATACATTTGGGAGATGTTAGCCCAGAAAGTTAAAAGGCTTCATCTCATTTTGGCCCTGATACACATAACAATTTAGCAGTTGCACTCAGTTCTGCCACTGAACAAACAAAACCATTGGACTTTTTTGGCATAATCTCCAAAAGCCTTCCGAAATCTGCAACATACACACGTACTGTTGAGCTGAAACAATTTCTTTACCACTTCACAGAACAGGAGAAACTGTGCTTGTCCGAGAAAAGGTACCAGAAATGTCACAGTCTCAAACCTATCTAGCAGAGTTTCCTCATGGTGTACTTGAACATAGGTTGCAAGTTAAGGACCAAGGTATTTCATCTGAAAAATCTCCACAGCATTATACTGAGAGGCATTTACACATAATGAATATATTCCTTTCAATTCTGGACTGAAAACCTAGTAAGAACAGAGGTAGAGTTTCAGTGCTTTAACTATCCTGCTTCCAATGAGTTAAAATCAACCCACAGATATCCTTGAAATGAAAATGTTATTTTCTGTTCTCACTGGACAGACACACACATCACTGAAATAAGCACAATTAATTCAACACAATGCAGCTGGTGGTCTCTTTTCAAAAAGCACACAAGGCATTTGTAAGCTCTGAGATTCAATTACTTCTCATTTCTAGAAATACTCATCTATCAGACTGGAAGTTACGAGCAGCACCGCACAAGAAAGTTCATTGTTAGGCTATCAGCATCACAATCACAAACAGAAAGAAAGCGAGGGATCCCAGCCTGTCAATTTTAACCTCCCCTGAACATGAAATTCCAATTAACATTAACAAAGAAATTCAAGAGATGGTTCTATTTAGAGAAAAAGCTTACTCATAAGCTTGTATCTGTCAGATCATTAATAGCGCATTTATCAACAACACTTCAAAACCTGCAAATATCTCATGGTTCTAAACTAAGTTTTTCATTTAATGAAAGTTATGTTATTTAAGGTTTGATAAATTGAAGAGAGTTTCAATGGTCTTTTTAAAGATGAATAGAAATGAGATGTGAGAACACTGATTTGTGAATCCCAGAAAACCTAATGAATTTTCAATGCCTAAAAATACATAAATACAGACATTTTTTGCAGACGCATACTCACAGAGATGTTGTCTGGCCCAAGGATTTTGATGACAGAGCATTTAAGATGTCTGTATGGTACAACTAGTTTCACATAATAATACCTGATCTAACCTAGCTAACAGAGGCAGTGCAGGTATGCTAGCATGACACTGCCCGAGTTAATGAACTCTTTCGCACACAGCTAATTATCCTGAGAAATTAGCCAATTCAGAAGAAGTTGACTTATTTATCAGGGTACAAGACTGTGGTATGAGGATGTAACCTTAGCTGTGATCTGTAACAATATATTGAAATAAACAAGCATAAAGCTTTTTTTCCAAATACTATTGTGTTCTAAAAAAAACCCAAAACCTCAGCTTCATTTTTCTGACAATATACGTAAGCAGCTACTACATTTTCACAATAGTTTCTAACCCGTA